CAATCCTACTTCCATAGTGATACTGCCTCGGAAACCCAAGGAGGGGTCGCTATGAGTCGGGTCCGACTCGACGGCACATAACAACAACAACAACATATTTTGAATAGGCTGCATTCATAAGGTTTAGAATTCTAAAGATATACCAGTTGCCATCAAGGCGAATGGTATATATTTGGAAGCTTTACTTTTCTTCTGCTATCTACCCCATTACCTTCAACTCTTATAAATAGCTACATATATGAGTTCTTATATATCCTGCTAGTATTTCTTTATGCAGATATAAGCAAATGTGAATATGTACTCTTCCCATTCTTATGCAAAGATTAACGTTCTGTATGCACTATTGTCCACTTTGCTTTCTTTACTTAATGTGTGATTCTGGAGACTTGTGTCTATCAATAGCCAAATTTGAACACAAGTCAGTTTAATCTGTGTTTGGGTATCTGTGGGTTTATTTGCTGAATCACAGACTAAAACCTCTTTACTTTTGATAGCGATTGCCAAATTGCTATCTAATGGAATTTCCCGTTAACAGTATTTGAGAATCTTTGTCTTGTTTGTGACACAGCTTTGCCACACAGTGTGTTGTCCAACTTTTGGACTTTTCTAATATAAATAGGGAAACATTGTTTCTTGCTATAGTTTAAATTTTCATTTCTCTTCTTATGAATGAACTTGAGCCTTCTTGTTATGTTTAAGGCTCTTTTGTTTTCATGTTTTGTGAATTGCTTGTTTATTTTTGTTTTATTCTTGATTCGTAGCAACTCTTTTTTATAAAATGGCATGAATGTGTTATGATGTCAGTTGCAAATATTTTTCCAACTTTTAAATTATTTTTGCTTTTGCTATGCACATAAAAACTGAGTTTTTTCTAATCCACAGGTAAATTATGTTACTCCTCTTAATAACTGTTCTTCACCCATTGACCACTTAATTTTTTCATTGAATGTCTTTGTTATTGTCAAAGAAAAGCATACTTTTCTCTCTGGCCCACGTAAAATATATACACATTGGAAATAAATTTCTCCATTTGTTAATTCTATTTATTCATTAACAACCATTTATTAAGATCCTATTATGTAGCAGGAACTGTGCACAGTTTTCTGTAGGTGCAAAGTAAAAGTAAATCTCCCATTCCTAAAAGGCTCAGTGCTATGTGGGAGAGGCATGAAAGACCTGGTGCTGAGGGAACAAGGAGGAAGATGCTATCAAGGTGGGTGAGGGGCAAATGTCAGGGGGCTTTTACACATATTACTTATGCTCAAAAGCTTAATGGAAAACAAAATAAAAACAAAAAATTATCCAAGTTACAAAATTGAATTGCATCATAATTAAGAGCAAGATTTTACCTTTTAAACACATATACTTGAAGTTTTATTTTAGAACTAAATTTCTGTCATCCTGCTTAATTTCTACATAGGACTTGGATATATCTTTGTACCAGCTTTTCTAAAATTATTTCTGCTTCAGGTGGTGTAATATTGGGTGCTGATTACTCTCAACTTGAACTGAGGATCTTGGCTCATTTATCCCATGATCGTCGTCTCATACAAGTATTAAATACTGGAGCTGATGTTTTCAGGAGCATTGCAGCAGAATGGAAAATGATTGAGCCAGAGGCTGTTGGAGATGATCTGAGGCAACAAGCAAAGCAGGTGATCTTTGTGAACAAGCTTACTCTAAATGAAGAAGAATTTTAATGATATAACAAACTTAAAAATTGTCCTGGCTATTTGTGATCGAGGAATGATTTCTCCATCTTTGAATCTTTCAAACCATATTTATCCGACCCTTTCTACTAGAACTTATACTTTCCTTCACGGAAGCAGTAGAAAGAACCTTACAGACTGAGTTCTGACTCCACTTAATGTCAAAAAACAGTACATATTTAAAACCATAATATATCTAGTCATAGTGCCTGGTACACAGTAGATGCTTATTTAGAGGTGGTAGACATTATTGTTGTGGTTGTTGTTGTTGTTTGCTGTCGAGTCGGCCCCGACTCATAGCGACCCCTCCTTGGGTTTCCAAGGCAGTATCACTACGGAAGTAGGATTGCCCAACCTTCCTTCTGAGGAGTGGCTGGTGGGTTGAACCGCCAGCCTTCTGGTGAGCATCAAGTGCCTTAGGCACTATGCTACTAGAGCTCCCAGAGTTGTGGTGGTAGTGGTTGTTATTTATGTGTATATTTAAAAAATCTTTTTATCTTTTTTATCTTTTCCCACAGCATTGAGCCATGATACTTTTTATAGAAGGTACTTTCTAAATACTTGTTCAAAAAATTGTTACTCCTGAACTATGAGTTGTAATCAGTAACTGATAGCTTGTGAGGCCTTTGATTAACTAATCTAACTATACTGTCCTTGAACCTTTGAAATGAGTCCACATTAGTTCCTACTCTAGGCTGCTTCATGGGAATACTCTAAAAAACCTCTCGGTGGGATAAAATGATGATCACTTATTTCTTACGTGCAAATGGGTCAGCTGGGCAGCTCTTCTCCTCTAGCTCAGCTGGGCCTGGCTCCACACTGTAGGTTGATCCAGGTTTGCTCCACAAATCTCTCATCCTCCTTTAACCATTAGGCCCACCAGGGAATGTTCTCCTTATAGCAAATGGAGGCATGCAAAAATGTAAGCCTAATTGCACAAGAATTTTTTTTTCCACCACTTACGAAATGTCTGCTAGTATCCTATTGCTCAAAGCAAATCACAGGAATGAATACAGAGTCAAGGGACGAGAAGATCTACTCCTTTCATGTTTGAGCCAGGAGCAAGAGAAGGTGCAAATATTTTTGAAGTATAGTCTAATCTAGTCTATCTGCCTTTATATTTAGAAATTATTTTCCTTAAAACCTTGGGGTCGAGCATTGTTGCATTAACTATCATTCAAGATTACTTGTTAGAGGGCTTATACCCATGTGATTCCTTTTCCTTTGTAAATAGTCATGTTCTTTCTCGAGAATTTCTTTAATCTTAAGTGTTTTGAAAGTTCACTGTGATTGCTGTGATGTAGATTTTCTTTTAGTTTGGCTTGATATAAAACAAGGTCTTTCAATCTTTAAAGATTTGTGTTCTCAGTTCTGGGAAATTTTTTTATATTATTTGAAAATTTATTTCTTTATTTTCTCTTTTTCAGACATAACTTCAGTTTATCAAATATTGTACCTGTAGAAGTGATGTTCTGTGCCTTTTCTTTTTCTGATTATTCCTACTTCGCATCAACCTAATTTTGTTTTAGGGCTATATTTTCTTCTTGAATGGAGTCATAAGTGCAAGAAATTTGTTTATTTTCTTCACTTCTTTGTCCTTACCACCTAGAACAGATGCTCAATGAGTATTTATTGAATAAATGAATGAGTCACTGAGTCTCCTAATTAGAGGATTAGTTTCAGTTTGTTTTGGATCTTGTACTCTCTCTCTCTTTTGAGATACTATTTTTCTTTAAATTTTATATATTTTGTTGTTATTTAGATTATGCACAGCAAAACATACACCAATTCAACAATTTCTGTATGTACAATTTAGTGACATTGATTGCATTCTTTGAGTTGTTCTATCATTCTCACTGTCCTTTTCTAAGTTGTTCCTCCATCATTAACGTGAACTCATTGTCCCCTAAGGATCCTGTCCAGTCTTTTAAATTGCTGTTGTCACTTTGATCCCATATATATAGATCTTAAAATAGCATAATGCTCGAGGCAGACCATTATCTATTTATTTATTTATTTACTAATTAAGCTCAACAATTGAATTTTAAGAAGACTTCAGAGGATATTTTTGGTTTAAGGTTTAAATGTGAGGGCAATAGTTGCAGAGGTTCATCCACCCTCTACGGCTCCAGAAAGTCTGGAGTCCATGAGAATTTGAAATTCTGTTCTGCATTTTCATCCTTTTGATCAAGATTCTTTTGTGTAATCTTTGATCAAAATGTTCAGTAATGATAGCTGGGCACCATCCAGTTCTTCCAGTCTCATGGTAAAAGAGGCATTTGTTCATGGAGATAATTATTTACACATTCCATATCTTACTATTCCTGACTGAACAGAATCGACAGATCCAAAAGAAATTACCAGACAATATCATTAATATTACATGCAAGTAAAATTTTGCTGAAAATAATTAAGAAGTGGTTGCAGCAGTACATTGACAGAGAACTGATATAAACTCAAGCTGGATTTAGAAGAGGATATGGAATGTAAGTTATCATTGTTGATATCAGATGGATCTTGGTTGAAAGCAAACAATACAAGAAAGATGTTTACCTTTGTTTTATTGACTATGTAAAGGCATTCAGCTGTGTGGATCATAATAAATTATGGATAACATTGTGAAGAATAGGGATTCCAGAACACTTAATTGTGCTCATGTGGAACCTGTACATTGACCAAGAGGCAGTCATTTGAAGAGAACAAGGAGATACTGAATAGTTTACAGTCAGGATAGAGTGTGTCAAAGTTATATCTTTTCACCTTACTTATAAAACCTATATGCTGAGCTAATAATCTAAGAAGCTGGACTATATGCAGAAGAATATGGTATCAGGATTGGAGGAAGACTTATTAGCACCCTGTGATATGCAAATGACATAATCTTTCTTGCTGAAAGCAAAGAGGACTTGAAGCATTTACTGATGAAGATCAAAGACTACAGCCTTCAGTGTGGATTACACCTCAACATAAAGAAAACAAAAATCCTCACAGCTGGATCAATAGGCAACATGATGATAAATGGAGGAAAGATTGAAGTTGTCAAAGATTTCATTTTACTTGACTCCACAATGAATGCCCATGAAAGCAGCAGTCAAGAAATCAAACAATGTATCGTATTGGGAAAATCTACTGCAAAAGACTTCTTTAAAGTGTTAAAAAACAAAGATATTGCTTGGAGGGCAAAGGTACACTTGACCCAAATCACGATGTTTTCCGTAGTCTCATTTGCATGCCACAGCTGCACAGTGAATGTTGTTGTTATGTGCTGTCGAGTCGGACCTGACTCATAGCGACCCCTCCTTGGGTTTCCGAGGTGGTATCACTACAAAAGTAGATTGCCCAACCTTCCTTCCGAGGAGTGGCTGGTGGGTTTGAACTGCCAACCTTCTGGTTAGCAGTCAAGTGCCTTAGGCACTATGCTACCAGAGCTGCTTATGAATAAGGAGGACCAAAGAAGAATTGACATCTTTGAATCATTATGTTGATAAAGAATATTAAGTATTCCAGAAACTGCCAGAAGAACATTCATCCATTCATGCCCCACTCTTTTGTTTTTGTGAATTTATACTTTTCAGAATTTCCTTTACAGCACATCATTTTCATGATGTGTCAGAGTAAAAGAGTATAATCCTGTGTGGTTAGATTGCTTTTTTGAACTGGGAATGGGATTCATTAAAAAATTTTGCAAGTGTAAACATTTCATCCCAAGAACTTTTTTGCTGTGTTCTCATGGTACTTTTCCATTTAATATACACTGTAAATAATAACAGCACTGTAAAAAGAAGTATCCAACAATAATAATGAAAACTTTGCTGAGTGGTTACTGCATGCCACTTTACATATTTTTAAATCTTTGCATTTTTTTTGTATGCATTTAATCCTTGTAATCAAAATGAAATGGGAATTGTTAGCATTATTGCCATTTTATAGAGGAGGGAAGTAAGACACAGAAAGTTGAATACTTCGCTTAAAGTTACACATGACATGGTGGAGTCTTAATTTGAATTTGTTGTTGTTGTTGTTGTTGTTATTTGCCATCAAGTCGGCCCTGATTCATAGCGACCCCTCCTTCTGTTTCCGAGCCAGTTATCACTATGGAAGTAGGATTTCCCAACCTTCCTTCCGAGGAGTGGCTGGTGGGTTTGAACCGCCAGCCTTCTGGTTAGCAGTCAAGTGCCTTAGGTACTATGCTACTAGAGCTCCTAATCATAACCTACACATTTATCCACTGATGATAGTTTCTCTAAAAAGTTCTTGTATGATTTAATAGTGTTTATGCTATACTGTTCTTTTTTTTTTTCTACATGCTTTTCTCTACCACAGCACTAAACCATCAGATGCTTGAGTCTTGCTGAGATCTCAGACAACATTAAACAACAAATGAGTCCAAAAAGGGGTGAGGGGAAGCAAAAAAATCCTCTACCTATCTTATCATATTGAAAGTTTCTTGGAATTCTAACCATTTTTTGCAAGTTATCTTTTTAAATTTAACAAACACTTATCTAGATCTTGCTTTATGACAGATAGTTTTCTAAACACATTAAAAGTAGTAGCTCATTTAATCCTAATCATGACATAAGTATTTTCATCCCCATGTTATGAATGAAGAGATTGAGATGCAAAGAGGTTAGGTAGCTTATGCAAGATATACATTGTATAAATGGTGGGGCCAGGGTTTGAACCAAGGCAATACTTATTAAATCAAATTTTCTTTATTTGCCTGTTTAGAAAATTTTCCTTTCTTGCTCCCAGAATTTACTGAGGAGTATATTTGTTTATTTTTAATCCAAATAAATTCTGTAATTACAGGATTTCAGTTGGTTGTGAGATGAAGATATTGATTTTTCCTGATATCAAATCATTTTGCCTACTCTTCTTGATCATTTTCTCCTATCCTGGTGGTACAATGGTTAAGCACTTGGTTGCTAACTGAAAGGTTAGCATCTGCATGAGTGAAAGACCTGCTGATTTACTTGGTAAAGATTACAGCTAGGAAATTCCATGGGGCAGTTCTGCTCTTCACATGGGGTTGCCCGGAGTCAAAATCCACTATGGCACCTAATAACAACAAACAAGGGCAAGGAGTGGAATGTTAGCAATTCTTCCTTGCCCTGAGTTCTAAGCAAATCTTGAGGTTGAAGTTAATGACACACTGAGGAGCAGAAAGCTACTCTGAAGATAGATGCTGGATAAATGACAGTGTCATAAATACATCTTCACAATCATTAGGGTTATTTTCTTAAAATAAACATACATATCTTAAAAAATACATACACATATATATTTATTCATTCTCTGCCCCCTCCTCAGAAATTAATGGTAAAAGGCAGAAAAAGTATTAACTAGATATCAACCTCTATGGATCTAACCTTCCAACAAAAGCAGATCTAATCATTCTTTTGACTCAAGGTGAAATCATTTACCAAAATGTCAGTCCTAATGAACTCTTTAATATCTGCATTTTATGTAATTATGAACTTTAATTTACTTACTGTGATGACTCCTTTTCACAGATTTGCTATGGAATTATTTATGGAATTGGAGCTAAATCTCTAGGAGAACAGATGGGCATTACAGAAAATGATGCTGCTTGCTATATTGACTCCTTCAAATCCAGATACACAGGTAAAGAGGTTTTGAGTGCTAGGCAGATAACTATCTTCCAGATACCATTCTTTTCTACCATCTTTCCATATTATATTAATTTAAAAAAATGTTATAGAATTTTCTGTTAAAATTTCTATTAATCAAAAATTATAAACAGGTATTGTTAAAGGAAAATAACATTAATCTTACTCATTGTGATTATTTACTAAGATGTACTTTTATCATAAAAATAGGGATGGAGATGGAATAGCAAAATGTAGTTGACATATGTGCTACTGTGTCATTGTGAGTTTCCTGTTAACATCTGGAATTGTCTTGGTCTTTGGGTTTAACCAGCTTTAGTTTGGAAAAGTAACCACTGATCTCTGTAGCAAGAACTCTGAGAGGACAGTTGCTATTATAGAGCAGTTTTAGTATCATTGTCTTAAATTATCACTTCTTTTGCAGTTTATTGAGATACAGTTTACATGCAGTAAAATTCACTCTTTTTAGTATACAGTTCTATGAATTTTGACAAATACATACAATCATATAATCCACACCACAATCTAGACAGAGAAATTTTTCATCACCCCCAAAAGTTCTTTCATACCCCTTTATATTTAGTCCTCTCCTGGATCCCCATTGGTACTGGAGTAACCAAAGCAACACTGCAAGAAAAAAAAAAAAGAAGAAGAAATTTGTCCTTTTTCACACATGACCTGATCTTGTACAGGAAATCATATGGATTCTATGAAAGCAATTACTAGAAAAAATAAGTGAATTTTGCAAGGTCCCACCATGTAAGGTCAGTCTGTAAAAATCACTTGCATTTCTATATACTAAAACCAAAAAACCAAACACACTCAATACCATCGAGTTGGATCCGACTGATAGTGACCCCTCCTTGGGTTTCTGAGGCATTATCACTATGGAAGTAGATTGTCCAACCTTTCTTCCAAGGAGTGGCTGGTGGGTTTGAACTGCCAGCCTTCTGGTTAGCAATCAAATGCCTTAGGCACTACTCCACCAGAGCTCTATATACTAGCAACAAAAAAAAATAGTGAATAAAAAAAATATATACCATTTATAACAACATAATAAAAGCATGAAAAACATGGGATAAATTTAGCTTAATATGTGTAGGACTTATTTATTGAAATCTCCAAAGCAAACCTTATGGTTTTCAAGGCTGTGACCTTTCAGAATCAGATCACTAGGCATGTCTTCTGAAGAACCAGTGAGTAAGTGCAAACCATAGGCTTTTGATTTGCAACCAACAGTGTTAGCCATGTGCATCATGTAGAGACTCCTTGAGCCACATCCATAAAAACAAAATCAAACTCACTGCTATCGAGTAGGATCTAACTCATAGTGACCCCTCCTTGGGTTTCTGAGGCAGTATCACTATGGAAGTAGATTGCCCAATCTTCTTTCTGAGTAGTTGCTGGTGGGTTTGAACCACCAGCCTTCTGGTTAGCAGTCAAATGCCTCAGGCACTGCACCACCCAAGCTCCTTTAAGCCACATTGTTTGCAGTAATTCATTATGGCAGCCTTAGGAAACTAATATGCTCTATAAACTAATACTCCATAAGTATGTGTAACTTAGATTTAAAAGTAATAGCTAAAACTATAAATGTACCAAAATAAAACAAGAAGAGAAACTTTGTGAAATTGAAGATTTCTTAGGACATGTTGTTGTTGTTGTTGTTATGTGCCGTCGAGTCGGCCCCGACTCATAGCGACCCCTCCTTGGGTTTCCGAGGCAGTATCACTACGGAAG